GACTTTTCAAGGTCTAAAATTGTGATGAGTACCGTATTTTCCGCCGTACACGTTGCCCCGTATAAGTCGCATCAGTCCAAATATGTCTAATAAAGTGGGAAAATCCATAAATACATCACATCTATTATGCATCACCGCTGACAACCTGGAAATGTGGGCTGGTGTTGTGCTGAAAATCGAGTGGCTGCCAAATGGCAGCTGTAGGAGTGTGCACGGGAGGGTGCATTTCTTCTAAATTTTACAACAGAACTACCTAAAAACAATTATTTGTTTGCTCGAAATTATAGTAAAGGTGTGTCTCAGTTGAACTTTTTCTTAATAAATGCGCTTTCACATTCAAATCATCTGTATTTCAAAAGCCGATACGTGGAAGTAAGCGCATACACGGCAGGACTCAGTGTGCATTTCTTTGAAATTTAACGAGATAAGCACCTAAAACAATTATTTATTTGCTCGACATTATAGTAAAAGTGTGTCTCAGTTAAACTTTTACTTAATAAATGCGCTTTAATGGTCACATCCCCTACATTTTGCAGGGGCGGCGCAGCGAAATGAAGAAGCTGATTTGACTTTTGCTCCAGGCAAGCTGGATGAAGGTGGCAGCCTATGGCAAGCCAATTGTGTCATTAATAGCCACTTTTCACCTATTACATGAAACAATGGCATGCCATACTGCTCGACTGCTAACAGCTGAAAATCGTAGTGTTTAATATTTTCAGTCAGAATGAATGAAAATGGTCATATCTCAGACAAAAATTGATTTATACATATGAAAAAAAATCCATAAATACGTCAATTCGGCGCATAAGTCACAGGACATGCAAATTATGCAAAAAAGCACGACTTATAGGCCGAAAAATACGGTAAATTTGACTCTTTCAGATATGCTGGGCAAGTCACTGAGCTCTTCTCATTTGCATTACAAACATCCTAAAGCTGAGGTGCTGCACATCTTCTTTAAAGATGCTGTGGTGGCAGGGTGAGGTTTTGTTGGAACAGATTATTTGAAGGAACAGTGCCAGATGAGGGTGATTAAAGCAGCTGTGAGGCACTGTCCAATCAGTCTCTGTGTTTAATGAGCACCACATACGCTAGCTGCACAGGATGTCTGTTAGAGGCAGTATAACATTTTACAGTGTGTAGTACGTTCCTTCAGCTCTGTGAGCTTCGCTCCTGAACTGTGCACAGCGGATTGGTTTGTGAATGTGGAGTGGCTGGAGGCCAATTAAGACACAACTGTCTGCTAGAGTTGTGGACTAAAGGAAGCCACAACTGCTGCAGAGAAAGTTTGAAAACGGTCCAAGTTTTTGTTAAACTGCGTCAGTTTGATAGTTTAACCAATGCAGTAGGTGGAACACTGGTCAGATTTAAAGGTAAATCAGTCTCAAAAAGCTGCGATAAGAAAGTTTTTTTGGTGGATGCCAGTTCACGTCATCCTTTCTTCAGTGGATTTGCAGGAGGATCAGGATGCTTCGGTAATGACCCCCACGGGGACACTCAAGGCATTTTGAAATAAAAGCACAAACAAGCCCTCATCTGCAGACTCAATAACGCTGCCACCTCCGTCGATGCACTCAGAGAGGGGTCACACAATCCGAGCCTTGCTGGTCAATATCTTGCCTTTAGCAGAGCTCAGCAGACTCTGGGTCTAACCACAACCAGAGCCGTCTATTCAGCGGGGCCTTGGAGTACAATAACTGTTATTGATATCCCTTTCTGCTGTTGCATCCTCATAAATCATTCACTGTTTACAGCTATTCAGAATTGATAGTGAGGGGGAGATTTACAGGGTGTAAAAAAAGGGAGGAAGCCTCACTGTGGCAGCTGCATACATTACAACACAATATGTGAGAGGTGTTAGAAGAGCAAAACCACAGCATCTTCGGCGACAGATATCTTTATGATCCTCTCTGATCACATCCCATAACATTCTATTCACCATGATACCTCTATTGAGAGGAATATCTGGCTTATTATGTTGGTATAAAAAGGAACTATTTGACAGTGATGGCAAGTTTTTGAATCTTTACACAATCCTGAGCTTCCCTTTCTTGTCATCCTGCAAAAAGCAGCTAAATTCCAAACAACATAAGGGATTCTGCAGATTCTTCCCACCGCTATTTTCATAATCAAGTAAAAAAAGATTCAGTTTGACAGAAAACAAAGCTTTTGAATAGAAATGAACATGAAGTCAGGTGCACAATACAATTGGAAACAGCTGTTGTTTGATCTCTTACTGTCATACCAAGCTGCATCACTATGACTCGTGGAATCCACGCTACAAGATTTTAAACATATAAGGTCATCATGGCATAACATCTATAACACACGTCAGATTATCTGCCTTCAGGCAGGCTACACGGATGCTGTAGTTTATGCAAAAATGTCAATAATTCAGTGAGGTCTTCTGCACAATCGTGCACACATCATGCATGAAGAATATGTTAATAAGTGACGAGTTCACACTGATTTTAATTGATAGAGCGGGAAATTAAAACTATTTTACATCAAATATAGAAGAGCTGTAGCAAATTCTAAAAACATAATACCGTACTTAAAAAAAAAAGGCAGTCGCCTCCACAGGTCACCAAATTACCAGGAAACATTTGTATTGTCATTCCCACTACTTGTATTTTTTTTGTACCCTGGTTTCTTATCAACAAAAATAAAACATCTGACAATATTTTGTTCAATCAGACCTTTCACATTTCACTTGCGGCCTTTAATGGACACCTTTAAGTCCACTTAAAGCTTTGCTTGTAAGCACACTCAAACTTTGAGTGGCTGATAAAAATATTGTGTTTTGAAAAGGCCAGTTCCCTTCTGACCTGCCCTTTTCATTTCGTCTGCATTCACATTTTGCTGCAAACAAAGAGGGAAACAAAATCCCATTTAAGTGGGAACAAAAGGGAATTTGCTTTCTGCCAACATTTAAAATGACTTGGAATTATAAGAATGAACTTTCCTTTATGGGTTCAAATGTAAAATAGAACATTCATAAACCTCTGAAACTAACGCACAGATGAGTTCAACAGCATAGGAAGTTTTATTCATATGACAACATTTAGCTAGTGGTTTTTATAATGTAAAGTTGGTACAAAATGAATTAACAACAAGATGGGAAAAGAACGTGTGATACCATTAAAGGTCAGGCAAGAAGTGAGCAAACACTAATTACTGTAGAGAAAATAGTCAATTTACTGTAAACAAAATTGTGTCCTATTCAAAACAGATTAAACATGGTTTAATGTTTCTAGAATATAAATAGCATTTATGAGAGCCATAGTCATGGTATCTCACTATGAAGTATACTGCTCGTCTTGTCAAGTCATCCTCTTTTCTTCTTCCATTAAAGAAAACAAACCAAAAAAAGTATTTCCTTTCCTCAACATTTACAGTGCATATCAAAAAAGTTTTCACCCCCTTGGATGTTTAATGCCTTTATTGCAGTCATAAATCAATTATGGCGTTCTCTTTACCACTTTCCCATAGGGCTTTGACTGGGGGAAAACCAGGGCAACAGTTGTTGTATGTGCAGTCTTCCCCATCTCACCTGTTGGAGCTTGTAGCTTCTTCAAAGTGGTCACAGTTGTCTTGGTGGGCTCCTTCATTTTTCTCTGTCTTGCACAGTTACTCAGTTTGTTAGGACAGTCTGCTCTTGGTAGATGTACATGTTCCATATTCCTTCCAGTTATTGATAATGGATTTAACAGAACTCCTGGGGATGTTTAGGGCCTTGGAAATCCTTTTGTATATATCCCCTGACTTGTACTTTTTATTAAATTTTTTTCTGAGTTGAAGTAGAACAGACACTTTAAATGGTGGTGAATATTTATGCAATCACTTACTTTACATAGTATATTTTTAGATAATTGGTATGACTTTGGTGACACAGCAATGCAGTTAAGAAGAGCTGTTGCCTTTCAGTAAGAAGGTTGCTGGATTGAATCTCAGCCTGGGAGTTTGCATATTCTCCTCATGCATGTGTGGGTTTTCTCCGGGTACTCCGGTTTCCTCCCACAGACTAGAAACATGCATGTTAGCCTAACTGGGTAACTCTAAATTGTTTCTGAGTGTGAGTGAGAGAGTGAATGGTTGTTTGTCTCGTTTGTCTCTATGTGTCCCTGTGATGGACTAGAGACCTGTCCAGGGTGTCCCCTGCCTCTCACACAGACTGCTGAATATGGGCACCAGTGACCCCCGCTACCCTAAAATGAAGAGGCGGGTAAAAACAGTGGATAGATGGTATGTCTTTGTAGATATCCTATTTCAAATTGACACTGAAAAAGTGTTTTTGTTTTTTTTTCCGTAAAGAACAATTCATTTATACCATGATTTATTTATGACAGCAATAAAAGCATACAACGTACAAGGGGTTGAATACTTTCTATAGGCCCTGTAATAGAACCCACCCCAGTAGAAAGTTCTCAGTGTTTCCGTACAACTAACATGAAAACCTATACAGAAAATTCTAATGAGCACCAGGTTTACCAACCAGCAGCTTCCCACTGATGTAGTTCTGGGACCATGCATGAAACCTTAAAACCACCAACACTGAGGGGGAATGTGCATGAGAGAATAAGAGGTAGGATGTGGTTCAAACAGACACTGACAGTGAGCTGAGATGAAATGCAGTCTTGAGATTCCCTTATTAAACAGAAGCAGATAAAATATACCACAGCTCACGAACTGGAGATTATTCACTCAGATCTTGATGTATGAGCTTTTTTTTTATAAAGTTTTAAGAAATATCTCACCCTGCCTTTTTTGCATGACTTTGTGACAGTGAAAGTGCATCTCGGATGGCTCTAATGGTATCAATTAAAATGTCAGAGTTTCAAACAAATAAATATAACTATATATGGGGAAAACTTTAAAAGTAATACATAATCAAACATGCATCTTACTTCTGAGTACAGCATCTTAACAAAAATATAAATGCGAGAAACCAAGCAGAAAAAAGTCAAACATTAGATTTCTGGATTTAGCATGTGCCATACCTCTGGGAGTCCAGCAGGTCCTTGGGTCTGATGATGGCCTTAATGAGGGCGTCGGGTCGCACCGACTTCTGAGGCGAAGTCTTAGGGCTGGAGTCTGACTCTCCACTCTCCTCATCTCCCATGGCTTTAACGTAGCTGCTGCTTCGCATTCGACGGCAAGGAATTTCATCATCCTTCCCACCCCCAGGGTAGCCCCCCCACTCATCCTGGGGTACCTGTTGAGTGGGAGATTGGAAAAGACAGAGAGGTTGGAGAAATGAATCATTGTATAAAATACATATTGAAATGTCATAAAAAGTTCACATTTGCTCAAACAAATATATGCCTGTATGACAAATTTGTGTAAATCTGTTAGTGAGCACTTCTTCTTTGCTGAGATAATCCATCCACCTCACAGGTGTGGCATATCAAGATGCTGCTTACAAAGAATGATTAGTGCACAGGTGTTTTAGGCTGCCCACAATAAAAGGCCACTCTAAAATGTGCAGCTTTATCACACACCACAACACCACAGACGTTGCATGTTTTGAGGGAGACTGCAATTGGCATGGGTAGAGCTGCTGCCTCTCAGTGAGAAGGTCGCCAGTTCAAATCCTGGCCGGGGACCTTTCAAAGTGGAGTTTGCATGTTATCTCCGTGCATGACTGACTTTAGAGGGGAAATGCTCACATTCAATGCCATATGGTATTAGAGACATATTCACTTCACTGATGAATCCCTGTTTTCACTGTACAGGGCAGTATGGCATTGTGTGGGTGAGCTGTTGGCAGTCAAAGTTATGAATCAAGTGGCCCAAGGTGGCGGTGGGGTTGTAGTATGGGCATGCGTATGTTATGGACAACGAACACTGGTGTATTTTGAATGCACAGAGATACCGTGACAAGATCCTGAGGCCCATTGTTACACCATTTCTCCACAACCATCACCTCATGTATCATGGCCCCATTCTGCAAGGATCTGTACACAATTCCTAAAAGCTGAAAACATCTCAGTTCTTGCATGGCCAACATACTCACTGGACATTAAGCATGTTAGGGATGCTCTGGATCGGCATATGTGTTCCAGTTTCTCACTACATGCAGCAACGTCACAGAGCCATTGAAGAGGAGTGGACCAACATTCAACAGGCCACAGTCAACAACCTGATTAACTCTATGTGAAGGAGATGTTTGCGCTGCATGAGGCAAAAGGTGGTCACACCAGATACTGACTGGTTTTCTCTCTCAGATGTACAGTTTAACCTAGTTTGACCAAAACACTAAAAAAGTTTGACTGAAATGCTTTTCTGAATTTAGCTGCATTGTTAAAGACAATTTCTGCTGGAAGACAAGAGTAAAAGGTGACATCTTTGCAACCATCAAAACAAGCCAGACGATTTGTGCCGCAATTTTCTTCCACTCGTTAAAGCAAGTAATTAAAAATCCAGGCGGAGGCATCACCATTATCCAATTTCAGAAAGCGAACAGGGAGTCCCACTTGCATTTGCTGCTTGCTTTCATTTGGAAGTGAATATTTCATGCAGGACAAACAATACAAAGCTGCTCTTAAACATAAACTGTGAGCAGAGAGCCAACATCTTGCATGTGCACAGAACAGAACTAGAGATTAATATACTCTGATATTAGCATTTTTATTGTTGGAATCAATTTCAAGCAGGGCACATTTTACCATAACATGAGTGGTAAGAATACAGACACTATGAATCAAAATTACTTTCTGAGTCATGATTATTATACACCAAAGAAACAATGTCAGATTTTAATTGTACATCCAATTACACCACACGCATAGTAATATTATAGAATTTTAATAGCTTTTTATAACGAGGATGGTGGCAGAGCTTATTAAAATCTGCCGGACTAACTTCCAACAGTATAATGGACCGGCACTGTTTGTTTGCAATGTCATATGCAGACAAAATCACAGCTCCTTTTGATATTTTTCACTTTTTTTCTGTTGCTCACACTTGATTTTTTTGTCATTAAACACAGGAGGTGAGTTGATTACAAGAACAGCTGAGTCAAGATCTGAAGTTTTCTCACAAAAGCAGCACAAGACGACACACAAACGCAAATACTTTGACACAAACGCACTCTTACTGATTGTCCTAAAAGCTTGGCTTGCTTGCACAGTCATAAAATATGACATTGTCAGTAATCATTAAATTATATGTGATAGTTGAAGTCTTCCCTGATGCTATACCCATTCATCACTTTAACACCCTGGCCCTAAAGCAGCTCAAGTTTCTCTGTCTTTATATTTTATAAAGACAAGTCTGAGCCTTGTTTATTGGTCTTTGTATCGTAACAAAAATTATTTTGAATTGTGCAAGCCACTACTGATAAAAATAAATGTTGGACAAATGTATAACGCTCATAATGATGGCGTGTTTTCCTCTGCCCGTCAGTGGCTAACTTGCTGTTCACAAGTTCACAGTGAACCGAGTGCCAGCAGAGCGTCACTGGCAAATGTCAGGAAGAGATAAGCCACGTCTAAATGTCACTAATGTGTCAGACACATTTATGCAAACTGAGATCTGATTAGCATTTAAAAGCTAATGAAAACACAGCCGGTCTTTTATAATATCAGGTTACTAAAGATGAAAGCATTTAACCACCTTTTCTATAGAGAAAAAAAAAGCTTTGAGTTTGAGCAGAAAATGACTTTATCCAAAATATTATTTATCGGTGACACTAGTTCACCACCATTAATGCGTTCCCTTCCACAGCTGTATTTCTAACAAGCATCAAATCAAAACTTAAATTGAGTGAATGGTTATGAAGCATTCACACTACTGTGATCCATTTTTCTTCTGTACGTTTTTTGGCATCTTTCTTGTTCTACATTTTTTGTGCTATTTCAACAAATAAATCAAAACGTTCAGCTCATTCAGGAGAAGGGTGCAATGACTTTTGGTATTGGTGCAACTTTAGCTTTTTGAAATATTTAGCCTTTTCAGACATTTTTTTCTCATAGAAAATGAATTGAGCTCCTTTTACATCATTTAAATCTTTAGATCTGTTTATAACCTTTTACTGCTCCTTTCACATTTTGTTCTGGTTCAGCTTCTTTCAGCTTCTTTGTGCAAATTTAAACATTTTTTCAGCTACTTTCAGCTGTTCATTCAGTAGTTTTGTGCTCCTTTCTTATTTCTGCTAACTACAACATTTCTGTGTGTCTTCTAACTTCTTTCTGCTAATTTCAACTCATGCTCCTTTCAGCTCATTTCTGCAAGTTTACACTTTTTCTGATATTTCAAATACTATTTAGTTGTTTTTTTAATGCTGATTTCAGCAATTTCAGCTAAATCCACATATTTTGCACTCATTTCAACTTTTTTCAGCCTAATTCAACAAAAATGTGCTCTTTCCACTTCCTTCTGATAATTTAAGCTTCTTTCTGCTGTTTTAGCTACTATTGGGCTGTTTCTTTTTTAATATATGCTTTTTATTTAGATAATTTCCAATTTTTGTGCTAATTCCTGTTTCTTTAAGCCTAATTGGGCACAATTGTGCTCCCTCAACTTTCTTCTGGTGTTTTAAGCTTCTTCTTGCCTTTTCAGCTACTTTTCAGCTATTTTTTCTTTTGCGAATTTCAGCTTTTTCAACAAATTTACTAATTTGTGTGCTCATATCTGCTTATTTAAACCAAATTTAGCAAATAAATGTTCTTACTGCTTTCTTCTGCTAACTTGGACTTGCTCTTCCATTTCAGCTACATTTCAGCATGTTTTTTTTAGCTAATTTCAGCTGTTTTTCAGCAAGTTCTTCAGCAATAAGCCTGCATTTTCACAGGAAATGCAATTTCTCTAGTTGAATGATGGCTTTATTGTGGAAAAAAAAGTCTTAATGGTGGAAAATGTTGAATCAAAACTTAGAACCTTGAAAACCTAGAATCTGGGCACTAATTTGGTTCCAAATCTGTGTTACATTTTCAAAAGTGGCACTGGTCAGACACAAAGTGAAGTGACACATTTACACATGATGTCAAAGAAATCATTATACCCAAGGACAAAAGGGCATTTTGCAATCTTGCATGGATGAATCAAACTTACTTTAATTCTGAACATGTGCTCATATGCATTAGAAGTCAAACCCAAACAGACACAAGTAAGAGTCATTCATCTCCCCTTCTAAGACAGGCCATTTACCAAAAAGAGTGGATGGGTTAATTAAGTCTTGAAGGGGTTTGATATTTTTAGACATCTAATTAATGAAGAGTACGCCAGTGGACAGGTGCAAGCTGTGGTGAGATTTGTTTAATTTGGATTTGCTGATAAAATGTGGAGATTCCAAGGGTGTCTCCCTGTGAAGATAACAACAAGAGAAACAAGCTGTGGGTACAGGAGTAAGTTTGTGCTGATGCTGTGAAAACGCATATCATATATAATGATTCTATAGCAGAGCTGAAAATATATAAAAATAAAGTTTTGAAATCTTTTAAAGCATTCATATAAATCTTTAACTTGACTGTAGCTCATCTGTCAAATGAAGCCATGAAAATGAAACACACACACACAAAGATTTTTATAGCCTCGGGGTAAACCCAAGAAAGTTATGGGGGACTAGCAGTGCAGAGGTTAGAAAAGACAAGCCTGTAATTGGGGTCACCGGTTTGAATCCCTCGACTATTACATCTAAAATTTGGGTGGGAAAGGGGGTGGGCCCTTAAGCAAGGTCCATAATCCCCAGATTTGCACCCTAGATGGCAGCCCTCTGCTACACACATGTGGGCTGTGGTAGCTTGGTGGCCGGTGCAAAAACAGTTTGAGTTTGTTTGTTGCTAAAGAAGCGAGCAGCCAATAAAAAAAAAGAAAGCTAAACCCAAGAAAGTCAAAATTTAGGGCTTTCGTCAGACAGGAAACCAAAAATGTTGCTTCAATAATAAAGCCATCATGGCACAGTGGTGACATGGTACTAGTTTCCCACAAGCACAAAGCATGTTAAGTTGTTTTTGAAATGTTTGCTAAATTCCATCTGAATTACTTTCATACCATAGAGTTCCATCACATTGTTGCTACTGGGAATTTTATTGGGATAGACAAGAAATCCTGAACAAAACCCTTTTGTCCTCCAAACATCAAGCTGTGGTAAAGAGTTAAATTTAGTCTAAACAACAGCCAACCCACAGACAGGAACTGAATCTGAAAGGGATCTAAAAATGTCTTTGTGCTCACTATCCAAGAGGAATGAAAAAATAGAAAATTAAAAAAAGC